CTTTCGAATTATGTTTCCACAAGAATTTGTCCTTTGATTAATCTTGGCTGGCCTCGTAGACCTCGATAATAGCAAATATCACTCTGTGTGTGTGTGTGTGTGTGTGCGCATGCACCGCAAGAACCGTTTCTCACGGAGGCGGAAAATCGTCCGGGGACGCGAGAAAACCTTACTTCCCGAAACGAGATGGGGGTGGGCAGAGGTGGACTCCTGAGAAGAGGGGGTTGGAAGGCCGCTTCGGAATTTAATCTAAAGTAGAATCGCGCCCCCCTCCCACGGGGGAGAGCTCGCTTACACTTTACTTTATTTCGCTTTATACCTTTTTGGCGTGGCCGGAATGGTACTTTCTCTCTGTATAATATCCACACGACTGGTACAGGCGTGTGGATATCTGTTCCACGGTATTTTCAACTGTGAAACAGAGACACAAGGGGTTTTACAAGGGCGCGTTTCCTCGTCTCGCGAAATACCTTTCGCGGCGACGATGGAGAAATTTTGATTTCGAGACGGAGTAAGACGATTTGTGAAGTGAGAGAGAAGACCCGTTGAAATATTAAATTTCTAGAATACGAATCTTTCTTTTTCTTTTTTTTTTTTTTTTTTTTTTTTTTCCCTCCCCTTTTCTTCAATTTTTAATATTCGCCAAGAGAGAGCTATATGAAATTTCTCCTTCGAGCGACGAATTCTCTTCGAATTACATTTACAGACATTTATACATCTTGAGAATCTTCGATTCTATTTATAATTTTAATAAATCGATTAAATATAATAATTTCTATTTCGTGAAACGAGAAAACTGCAAACCTTTCATCAACCAATATATAATTTAATTATTTATTATTAGTATATTCCCTGTAATATTTTCTTAACAGAAATATCGCGTAACACCTTTATCCCATTCAACGCTTTTTACTCGAATATCCGTGTCGCAACGCTATTACAATCCACGCCTGGTGGAATCTTATAAATTTTGCATCTCGCATCCCCCGCCGTATGCCTCGTGAAACAATGCTGCACGCTATTTAAATCGGTCTCGCTCGTTGAACAATATCGCGTTCGCGCCGCATCAATTGCAATATGTTAAAACGCGGGAGGGTGGAGGGGAAGGGAAGGAGAGGGGAGACGCAACGCGTGGATTAATCCGCAAATTTTTATCACGGCTCAACGCAGCCGCGTCGCAGACAGATTTTTTTCTCCACGAGTGGAAAAAACTAACTAACTAACTGACTAACTGACGAATAGATAGTTCCGTCATTAATTTACGCACGACGTCATTAAGCAAATTGAAACGAATCGGATCGGTGTGTATTCAGGAAGGGCAGATGTTTCAACGAACGAAATGATTAAATGAAATATATTCGGTCGAGCGAGCGTTTCTTGTCGAGGAGTGGCGTTGCCACAGGTGTGCGCGATACACGATGTTTCACGATGTCTGGAATCGGGTCCCGTTGTCTCGAATAAACGGAGAAATAAGAGAAATAGGGAATATACACGAGGAACGTAATGGTATACCGATCCGCAAATTTGCGGATCGATCATGTTGGCGAATTATATTTGAATTTTAATCCTGGTTATTTGCAATCGTAATTCGTCGATATTCGATTCAACGCTTGGATAAATTATTTAATCGTGCACAAAGGAAATTCGAAAAAGTCGAGGCTAAAAAATTTGACTCGATCCACTTTCGATCACATCTAACGAATTTCAAGTATTATCTTGCTCTTAAAAATTTTTAACAATTGAGTGTACTACCGTGACATAAAACAGGACTTAAAAAAACTGTTATTATTATACACTGACACTAAACGAAAGAATTGGTTCGCCAACGATCAATAACACATTCAAGAAACATCAAAGGAAACTTCCTCGTTGTTAACTTCAACGAACAACACTTTTAACTCGTTACCTGTTCGTTACGAGTTCAATCCCTTCGAAGGCGAAACCAAAGATCCATAGATCGTGCGGCAAAGGGCCGCGTAATTAACTTCTTCCTTGTATCCAATGCATCGATTCTTCGATTCCCAAGCAAATTAACTTCCTTCCCTCTCGTTACGTTCCAAGCCTTGCTCCCGGAAAACGGAAGAACAGAGGGGGAGAGGAGGGGCACACGCGAAGACACGAAGAAGCACGTTTACGTTTACCTCGCGCATAATTAATCCGGAATAATTTCTTTTTCTTCCTCCATTTTCCTTTTCTTTCGTCGCACGCTTCGAGAGCAAATTGTCGACTGAAAATTCGAGTAACGTTGTCGTATGTATTCCCCGTTTGTGTATAAACATTCCATTCGAACGTTTGTTTCGCACAAGCGAATGCTCGAATGTTTATCGCGATATAAATATTTGGCACGATTTATCTCGTTATCTCTTTCCTTTCGAACGATTTCGCGAATCCTTTGTCCGCGCTTTGTGACTCTTTTATTATCTCAAGGGAGGCGTTTCGTTTGTTAAAAAACATTATCTTATTATTGTTATTAATATTATTATTATTATTATATTATGGAGAAGAACTTTTAAATAAAATATCTTTTGAATGAGTATAATGGAACCGATATCGTATTAAAATTTTTTATTACAAATAAAAAAAAAAATTTTTTTGATTCGTATATTCATTAAACAAAACATATTTAATTTCTCTCCGAATCATGTTTAAAATACGATTCTTTTCAATTTCGAAATCAAAAATACACCTCGTCCCTTAAAAAAACAATAAATCTTATGTTTAAAATACGATTCTTTTCAATTTCGAGATCAAATACACCTCGTCCCTTAAAAAAAAAAAAACAAATTCTTATGTTTAAAATACGATTCTTTTCAATTTCGAAATCAAAAATACAGCTTGTCTCTTAAAAAAACAATAAATCTTCGT